GGGTGCCCGCTGCGGCCGGGCCTTCCCGCGCGGGCCCGCCCTGCCTCTCCCGGAGGGAGGTGGTGTGTGGGGCTGGGGCACCGGGAGGTCTCTGCGCCGGTGCACAGCCCGGCTCCTCGGCTTTCTGAGGAAAACCGCTTCGGCCTTGCAAGAGCTGCTCCCCCGGTGCCTTTTTCATGTAAATCCTTATGCTGCTGTTATGAGGTGATCCTTGTACCAGTGCGATATTGGATATAGCAGAGTTATTAATCCTTGTTCCGGCACCTGTTCCTTAACACCATAACAGATTTCTCGAATCGTATTTTACCTTCAGGGACAAAATGACCTGTTAGGTTTCTTTTGGTGGCCTTGACTATCTTGATTACAGCCTTTGGGACAAGCCTGTACTTCCAACTCTTCCATTTCCAGTTTGTGGGGTTACAAAGGCAGCTTGGGTTGGCTTGGCAGGATGATTCTGAGTGCTCCCACCTGACTTGTAAAATCCTTTTGCTGTGTGTACCCGTTCTGGTTATATAGAAATATATGCAAGGGTAATGGCTGCTCTTATTGTGCTGAGTTTTTTAGTTTTTCATACCATCTAAGGTGCTTTTACTTGTGGTTTTTGTCCATGAACATACTCTTTTGTGCTGGTTCTGCAATCACAAGTTATGATATTTCTGTGTGTCTTTGATGAATTTTATGTTTGGTGATAAATGTTTGCAGTTCTTACCTGAAATCCTGTCCTTGCAAAAGGAGGGCACTGAGGTTCCTCTAGAAATAGCAAGGAGCTAGATTTTTGTGCTCTCGTTGTATTTTTTTTTTTCCACTTCTAAAGCTCAATATCAAAGAAATTTTCCCAGTTTTGGTTTTGTGTGTTTGTTTTTTCCCAGAGCCTTTATTTTCTGCCTTTTGCTCTTTTAGGGCTGGCACATCTATATGACAAACTTGAAAAGCAGCAAGTTGAATAGCTAAAAGTAATTTTTAGGAAGATGATAAAGCTACATAGCAATAGTAAAAAATCCTATATACATTACAGTTTATGAGAAGACATTTTGGTGCCGATGAACACTTGCGGTTTTATTTCTTTTTCCATTTAGATTGATTAAAAAGATGAGTGAAGTTTCTAATAGAAAGCTGGATAAAAGCCATGACAAGCTCAATAAAAGAAAGCAGTGTCTGCTCTCCTGATTCAACAGTATCTTCTCTTTTGAGAAGCTATAGCACTGACAGCAGTAATCCACACTCAAACAGTTTGATTCACTACAAGGACAAGCTTTACAGCTCTGCATCTGAGGCTCTGGAGGCTTATATTGAAGACTTTGATCTGAGTCTCACATCTTCAGAAATAAGCACTGGAAAAATCTGCATCTATCAAAGCACTCCCAAACAAGTTCAGTATTCAAAGCATCACGCCAAAGAAAAACATGGTATGTCTCCTGAAAATATCTTTTAATAAGTCTTGGTGTTTGTTTGTGTTTTGGTTTGGTTTTTTTTATTGTCAGAGCTATTGCACCTCCTTGTCTCACACCAGGTGTGGTTTTTTTGAAGGAATATTCCCTGCAAAACTGCTGGCAACTCCTTATGGTGTAGTAAATGATGCTTGGTCATGGCTACCAATATTTGTCATTCTCTGTAATGCTTTTTTGTAAATGCTTGGTGGATTGGCGAGAATTCATGACCATGCTCCTAGATGCAATAATAAATTCTAGAGTATGGATTAGAAACTGTATTTCCTATGCAGTGTAAGTCATTGCTTAAATCTGAGTCTTAAAAAAAAATCTCAGTTTCCAGTGTAAGTAACATCAGAATCTAATTAATTGAAGGAACAATCAATTAAACATTGCTCTGTCTTGGAACAGAATTTGCCCCTTATCCATTGATTTTTATGGAATGTACTTTTGGGTCTGAAGACTAACCCAACAGGGTAATGTATATGGGTTTGAATTGGCTTTTGTCATTATTAGTTAGCTTGAATAAATAAAGGCTTTATTGGTTATATGAACCTTTATGAGAAGGTCTGGAGTAGATAACTGTGCTTGAGTTAATTTATACTGCAAGTGCTTTGTCTATTACATTTAAAATAACGAAGTCCTAAGTACAGGTGAACTTTGTACCTGAAAAAGGATGCTTGCCTGGGTTGGCATGGACAGTTATGGCAGCATATTCAGGTGTGGGTGGGTTTTTTTCACTGTAGCCTATAACTTCCCTCTAGCTTCATGCCTTTCCTTTCCTTTATCAGGACACATGGCTTTTAGTTGTCTTCACTTTCTGTTCATATTTTTCTAATACAAACCATCTTCTACCTAAGTTTAACTGACTTCCCCAACAAAAATAAACATTCTGTTTATCACTAGTGAGAAACTGTTCTATGAAAGATGTCAGCTGCTTGTATTTTACTCTGAAATTCCTCTGTTGCTGTTTTTGCAGAAGTCCCATTAGCTCCATTCCTGTGTTAGCCAGTCTGCGTGTACGTTATAATAGTCTATAATATACAGATTTCACTTACTGATATTACAGTGAAAGTGAGGGGAAAAAATAACTTTCAGATACTACCTGAGGAAAACCTATTTTCATGAATTGAAGTGCTTTATACTTTCAGTAAAAAAAAAAAAAAATTAATGCTATAATTCTTCCCTGAAAAACTGCCAAGTCAAACCTTATACAGCAGGTAAGTTTCTGTAGAATGACATCATGGATCCATAGGGTGGCTACTTGCCTTGCAAGCTGTTGCTTTTGGTCACCTTTTTCTCTAGGAAATGTGCTCTATTTCACTATGGGGAAAGTTATCCCTAACATCACTGTGTGGAGGAAGTGTTGCTACTAGGACTGAAATACAAAGGGCGTATCTGCAAAAACATGCAAGTCTGAATGTGCAACTAAAAATGGACTGTGGAGTGTTGAAATCTTGTTTCTCTTAAATAAAAAAAATCAAAGAAAATACTCAAAGCTGTAAATGCTATGTACCTTGAAAGGAGGGGTGATGTTTGACTGGTAAGGTTTTCATCAAGATTCTGGTTAGAAACAGAACCACTTCTGCTAGAACTGTAATTCAGTATTCCCAGTAAAGAATATATTTTCAGCTTTAAATTATTACTTCATGTTAAATCTTGCAGATGTATTTGGTATGCCTGAAGTTTAACAATTCATGTAAAATATCTCTGTTTTTCAGTATTGGACGACTTTAATCAGCACGTAGGTTTGGGTTCTCTTGCTTCACCCTGTAGAAGGCAGACTGAGTGTGACCCAGACTTGATTAGTCTCGCGACGGATGATCTGTTAGCATTTCCAGCAGATGGATCACTGCCCTTTGTCCAGTGTAGTCCTT